TCACAAGGTACCGTTTGTGTCCGGGAAAGGTTCATAGTTTCATAGTTGTCGATTTTCGAAAGAAATCAGTACATGTATATTATTTCGTATATTTTTCATGTTATTGATTTTATGGAAAGCACTGTTCATTAAAATGTTGTATCCTGTGTTATAGGGCTTGTTTCTCTCTACAATTTCCTATTTCACAATGTACCGTTTGTGTCGGGGAAGGGATCATAGTTTCATAGTTGTCGATTTTCGAAAGAAATCAGTACATATATATTATATCGTACATTTTTCATTTTGTAGATTTTATGGAAAGCACTGTTCATTAAAATGTTGTATCCTATGTTATAGGGCTTGTTTCTCTCTACAATTTCCTATTTCACAATGTACCGTTTGTGTCGGGGAAGGGATCATAGTTTCATAGTTGTCGATTTTCGAAAGAAATCAGTACATATATATTATTTCGTACATTTTTCATTTTATAGATTTTATGGAAAGCACTGTTCATTAAAATGTTGTATTCTATGTTATAGGGCCAGTGGTGTATCTAGAGATTGAGTCTGGGAGGGATAGTGTGAATATTCAAAAATGTACTAAATTTTAATTAAATTTTTGCTGGAAGGTATCGTAACTGTGGAAAAAAATCTACTTGGATTGGTTTGGATATTGTGTTTTAATTTGTGTTATTAACTTTTTTGTAGCAATTTTATTTTATACCAAATTTTATCTTATTAATTAATTTCTTTCTGGGAGGGGTAATTACCCTAATTATCCCTCCCGTATATGCGTCCCTGCTAATAATATTATTTTTATTTTTTTAATAACTTTTTTTAGCCGACCATACCAACAGGTATGGTAGTCTATTAAGATCAGGATTCGGAAAACTACATGTTACTTTTAAAAACTACATAAACTACATTACATGTAGTTAATTTAGTTTATGTAGAGGGTGTAGTTTATGTAACCTATATATGTAACTTTCAAATATCAAAGCTTTGAGACAGGTTTAACGCGAGGTTATAATAAATTGAAGCTTTTTTTGAATGTTTTGAGTTTTCGTATTTTATAATAATTTTAATATATTGTCTTATCCTTTATATTCTTTTTTTTATGAATTTATAATTCTAGTTCATTAACGTAGTTTTCATGTAGTTAATGAACAGAAAAAGACGTAGTTTTTGAAGAAAAACTACGCGTAGTTAATCAGGTAAATTACGTCTTAATTAACTACTTCCGAACCCTCATTAAGATCGACAAAAAAAATTTTTTTAATTTCACTCAAAATGAGTTATTTGGATCATAAATGACCTAAATACAAAATATTTTTATGGTGTCTGTCTGTCTGTCCGTCTGTAACACGATAACTCAAAAACCGCTGAGCCGATTTTAACCAAATTTGACACAAAAATACTGTGGCACCAGAGAATCTGGCCATTAGTTTTTGGTGGGGGTGGGGGGTTAGTAAGGGGATATGGGAGGGGGTTAAAAATTCTAAAAAATCGTAACTCCAAAATTACAATACATAGCGAAACGCGGTTTTCAATTTCAGATTAGGAATAATATTTGCAACAAAATTTGTAATAGCATCAAAATCAGTCAAAGTCGCAGTTTTTGAGATATTCCGTGTTTCCGTAGTCCGTTTTTGAGAAAATCCGTGTGGAGAACTCCAACCCCCCATCGGACGCGACCCCAGGTGGCGGATAGGGAAAATAACCGCGGATCAAAATTGGAAAAATTCCTTTACTTTGAAACTAAAAGAACTGCCTACCAACTTTTTATTAACATATTTTAGTATGGACGGCTATACGTGCCTCCCGGTGCCAATTTTCTCTCTAATTTTGCTGATATTTAACATTTTTAAGCTATATTTGTATTCGAAAAAAACTAGTTTTAGCTTTTTACCATGTTAAAATATCACAAGCAAGCTAGTCCAAATAATTTATTATATATATATATATATATATATATATATATATATATATATATATATATATATATATATATATATATATATATATATATATATATATATATATATATATATATATATATATATATATATATATATATATATATATATATATATATATATATATATATATATATATATATATATATATATATATATATATATATATATATATATATATATATATATATATATATGCTCTTATATATATCTCACTCAGCAAAAACAATACTGAACATTATAGGCTGTTTTTTTTTAGAATTTAGAATGAGTGGGAGGGGGGTTAATCACTGCGACCTTACAGATCCATTGTGTCCCCCTTTCTTGAGTCATAACTCATCATACAGTCCCAGGGCTTTGACAAAAGCCAGTATCTGGGACGGTTTTATAGAGGGTAGTTCTCCATCTCCAATATCAGTCGTACCAAAGTTCATGGCACGAATGGTTGTCGTCTCGGCGCACTCAGTGATGAGGTGTACTGTGTTTCCTCATTTTCCCCACAGAATCTGCATTCGCCGTTTCTTCTTAGTTTCAATCTACTGAGGTGTTAATTGAGGAGACAGTGTCCTGTTAAAAACCCCGTGACAATCCGAAGATTGTTCTTACTTAAACCCAGGAAGATCTGTGATTTTTCTTAATCATAAGCCCTCAGAAACTTCTTCGAGTGTCTTAGACCGTTGCAAGATTCCCACTCCAGGTTGCGGACGGAATCTTCCAAGTTTTTGAGTTCCGCCTTGAGTTGATTACCACTTGGAAAGCAGAACGGTTCTGGTCCAGTTAGTGGAGTGTTCGCTCCTTTTCTAGCTAGATCATTTGCTTTTTCATTGCCTTCTATCCCTTGGTGAGCAGGCACCCAGAGTAGGAGGACTTTGTTTTCTTTGCCTAATTTATTCAGCTTCTCTATGCATTCTTTGGCCAATTTCGAATTGATTGATACTGAGTTGATCGCTTTTACGCTGCTTGACTATCAGACAAGATGGCTATTTCTTGTTTCCGATAGTTCCTATCAAAGATAAGTTGTACGCATCTTTCGATAGCGTAGATTATAGCCTGTAGGATACTAGGGTAAGTGCCCATTGGTTCGGAGTATTTAGCTCTCGGCCCAAACACTCCGATCCCTGTTCCCGTATTGGTTTTGGAAGCATCAGTATACCAAGTTATGGTCTTTTAACTGCTGGGCAAGCGTTTCGCTCTTCCAATCCTTTTTATTGATCAATACTACATTGAGATGTTTCTCAAAGTTGTACGTTCTTGGCATATCGTCCACGGGAGTTGCAGGAGTGGTATTTCCTTTATGAGGGTGTTCCAAGCCCCTGATCTGACAATTCTCCCAGTACTAATTCCGTTAGTGACCATTCTAATCATTGTCGCATTGGCATATCTACCAATGACAATGTGCAGTGGTGTTAGATCTAGAATGACCTCCATTGCTGCTGTTGGTTATAGGCTGTTACAGGTAGGAATGATTTGCAGTTCTAAGGAAAATTTGATAAATAATTTTAAAAAACTATCTAGTTCATCGATTATAATACGTTAAGTACACTAAAACTCTAAAAAATATAGTATGTTCACTAAAACTGTCCTATAATCCACTCAAATGTATTTAATTAACGGAAAACAATGTAAAATTATTTGTAAACAAGATGAAAACTGCTGAGTACCAGACGATGACGCGCAATAGTAAAACTAAACTCAAAAATGTAAATAAACAAATAAAAAATAAATGAAATCGAGGCGATACCAGTGCATTGTAACTGGCACAATCAACCTCGACTTCTCCTCCTCAATGTTTGTTTGCCCTCTCCCTCTCACCCAAACAACCCCTATCTCTAATTGATCTCTCCGTCGCTCCGCACACTTCTTAACATCCGCGCGCCACACAACAGAGCACCACTGCAAACCGCTCTAACGACTCTCGAAAACGATACAGAGGATTCGTTAACGGCGGGGCACGGCTCTATATAGTTTTCTGAGCGGTTTAAGATGAATATTATCGAACTGGGTTTTAATTGGAGCCGGATGTATTGTACACAGTGTTCGTTCGACCGAGCTGCGCTTTTGTGTTCTGTGACGTAGTCGTTGTCGAGGGGACTTGTTTATTTTGCCCTTTTTTATTATTTTTTTCTCAATTAAAACGTTCCGGACGAGTCTATAAGTTTAGGGGAAATTTAAATTTATGAAAATTTAAGGGAATGTATAGTGTTTTGTGATTTAAAGAGTAATATTATCAGTAATTTTGGTAATATTACCTAATATTACCGCAAGATGTAAATATTGATTTTTTCCCGCTCTACTCTTTAGTGTTGCACAAGAGTCTTTAGAAGAAATTCAAGACAAGACTTTCAAAATTTCTTGTCTTGAATTTCAAGACAAGACAGAACTTTAATATGCAAGAAATTTCAAGAGCCTTGCAAGATTTCTTGAATTCAAGATTTCTTGAAAGTTAGTTAAAATTTCTTGAATTCAAGATCTCTGGAAAGATTTAATTAATTATGTTTTAATTAATTAATTAATAATTTTAATTTAAGGTCTTTGCGCAAGTTATGCAGGGTTTATACAACATTTACATAGTCGTAATCACAATCATAGTCATAATCATAAAAAATGATGTTATCCAACTTCACTGATTTAAAAATTATGATTATGAAAATGTTATATAAACGCACATTAAAATTGCGTTGTGATTATGACGATGATTAAGACTGTGATTATGTTTACGACTTATGCAAATGTTGTATAAACCCGGCATTAATATTGACCAGTGTTCATTTTTTTTTCTATCATAGCAAGTGTTTTAGAGTTGAGAATAAAATAAAATAAAGTCGAGGCAACAAACCTTATATTGGTAATTGGTATTATACACAAAATTATATTGGTATAATGGTATTTAAAAAAAAAACTAACGGTAGTTGAAACTAATGGAGGGGTCGCGGAGCACGCTATTTGCGCTCTTTGGTACCACTTTTCATGCACGAAATTGCTCCGCGAACAAAAAGTTGTATCAAATAGCGCAAATAGTACACCTTAGCATGATCTTTCTGTACACCCTGTGTCCAAACTTTTCCAACCTATCTTCCATAATAAAAAAAAATAAAATAAATACCATAAAAAATAAAAGTAACAAACGGGTAACCAAAATAGAACATAATAAACTAACAAGAATCAACAACTAGAACTAAAAAATGAACTTATGGAAATTCATTCATCCAGGAATTTAAACAAATTAAACTTCTTACCAATTCTGAATTTAGCCGGTTTCTGTGTTTCCTTATTACCAGTGCTGCCTTCGAAAAGATCCTGTCTGCGGGAACAGAAGTAGCCGGTATACAAAAAAAATCACGAGCCATCTTTGACAGCACTGGGAATATGACACTATGGCCTGCCACCATGCTAAAATATCTGTTTTATCGTTCACTCTTTGGATAGATAAATAATTTTGAAGTTCATTTTGAAAACCACTATCAGTATTGACATTAGAACTACAACTACCAAAACTACCTATATGTTCGTCTTCAGACGTAACAAATATTGAATTAAAATCAATATCAAATTCATTAACAGATGATGAAACGCTTGGTGTACTTAAATCTCTAGGTTTGTACATCGTAGGCTCAAAATAATTTTTAGAATTTCTTCAAATTTTGCCATTGATCTTTCCTCTAGACTTCTACCCCAAGACGTTAATTGAAACGCTTCTTTTTTATGGCGTTTTTTATGGCTTCATTTTTTCAAGACAAGAAATTTCAAGAGTCTTGCAAGACAAGACAAGACTTTGAAACTCTACGCGACGAAAATTTAACTGAAAATGAAAATTTAATTGCAACGGATTTCATCTATGAAACTGCAAGGCATCATTCAAAGTATCTTTTACAAGTAGATCTCATTATGGAGGCGCTGACTGGCACAACACAAAATTAGAGGTAATTATTTTGCTAAAGAATTCGACCTATAGGGTCCTTTGGGTACCTCTATCTACGTGCCGAGTGTGGTTCCAATCTTGAAAAATTGAAGTTGAAAAATCTTGATGATGAAAACGTCGAGGTCATCACCCTGTAACCCGTTGCCAATTATGCTGAAATCTACCTACATTTTTTTTCAATATCAAATCCTTAGTCCCATCCTAATTATGAAGATGTAAACGAAACGTCGCGACGTATTCAACTTTCGCTCACATAGCATACCCACCAAATTTGGTCGCGATCGGACGACATCAACTTTTGACGTTTCTTACGTCAAAACTGTCTGTCACAGTGACACGTGGCGTAAACGGTTAAGTTGGCGTTGGTCCAATTTATCAAAATACCAAATTTCATTTAAATATTTAAATCGAACGATTTTATGATTAGAACTTCTATATTTTTATGATTTTGTTGGTCTAACATCAACAAAATATTCCCTACGTTTGGACTAATTTTCTCGAAAATAAAGACATAATTTAGAATTCCGTTACAATACGGAAATAGATTGAAGTTTTGTGATTAGAGTGATATATAGTTTATATGGTTTTGTAATAAATTGCTCGCTATTTTATGGTAAATGCTTTGTAAACCTTAATCAAGCCTTAATCAAAGCACGCGTGTTTGGAATTTTGGGTGTGGCTTAACACTACAGGATCAGGCTAAGCTTAGGCAGATTTCTGAAATATAATATATATTTCTTTCGACCACAGACCCGCTTTACCCGACCCCTGAGAGAGACCCGAAAATACATCGTAATAGACTTTCAAATCGAAATTATAAAACGAACCATTCGCGTTATTTGACTTAAAGCAAAGTTATCTCCACAAAACCTGTTCCCAATATTGACTTAAACATATAGTAAAGTGTCTAAGTTCCAACTAGCTCAAGGTATACCCACTTAGAAGCGTAATCTATGCTCAAGACGGTTGAAAAAAGAAAAGGAACAACACAATTCACTAACATATATTTAAACGTTCATCGGCTATTAACTTTACATGTCGTCGATTGCTGCGAGCAATCGAGACTGTAAGCAATAAGTAATATTCTTGTTTGCCCGGCCATTACCTTCAGCAAATGTTTCTTATTTTAAGTAACAGTTTCACATGGGCAAATATGCTTTTCCCCGGCGAGCAGCATGAGCAAACAATGGCTTTTAAAAAGGCGACTTCCAACTGATCATCGATTTAGATCAATATTTGCACTGTGCTGCGCTCGAGAGGGGTTATATTTGGTCGAGGATTTGGTTTCGTTTAAGTTATTTTTAAAAGGATGTTCTTTTTAAAACTTTTGCTGGCATTTTTTAATATTACTTAAAGCGTTAATTATATATTTTATTTACAACCACATACGTAATACTGACATTACTGATTTTTAAAAAATTTGAAAGTGTCAAATTATCTACATTATTTCCCTCATCCATTTCCCTCACTCGGTTTTTCTTATTTCTCGCCTCATTTAATTAAGCAAAATATTCTTGTAATATATTTATTAAATACTTATCTAACATTAACAAAAATAAACAAGAAAATTAATAATAATAAAATTTTAATACATTTATTTGTTGAAGGTTTGGTTTGGTTGGCGTTTTAAAAAAGCGATGAGTTTGTGATATTTTGATGTCAGTCTTTTCCCTTAATTCTAGCCTTGTCCGTATCATGTTGTACGTAGCCCAAAGAGTAGATGGCTTTTTCTGCCTTGCCGTGTCGCTAAAATATGCCATCAAGACTGTTTCCGCAATTGACTAGGCGAGAGGATTGTACAATTGTACATTGAGTTATAACTCATCTTACAGTCTCAGGGCTTTGACAAAAGCCAGTATCTGAGACGGTTTTACAGAGGGTAGTTCTCCACACTGAAAAAAAAGATCTCTCAGTCGAAATGAATATGACTTTGACCCAAAAGATTGGCGCTTTTCAATAGGGCAAAGAACGACGTTTCTTTGCCCAAAACATCTTTTCATAAGGTTTAAACAATTACTTTAGAGAATAGAAGAATCTATTTGTCCAAAGTATTTCACTCTTGGCCCAAAATGAATAGGCAAAGAAGTTCTGGCTACAAGAACAATAGTCTCTTTGATTCATGCAAAAATTCTTGATTGAAAAGGGACATTTGTTGATTAAAGAGACACTTTTCTTAAACCAATAGCGAATACAATTGACTCAACTAAAATTTATTTTGATCTAAGAGAAGTCTATATATCATACACAGGCATATTACGGGGTATATTATTTTCTGATAAATTTAGGTTTTCCTGGTCTGTAGTAAGTAAAGTGATATTATTTTCCTCGATAGTAGTTATTTCTGCTTCTTCACTCCTTGGTATTTTTTGGGGTGGTTCATCACTCTACAAATTACAAAAAAATGTTACATCACGATTAATCAAAGTAAAGCAAATAAATTATTAAAATTATAAGCTTTGGTTCCATTTTCAATTTTTTAATACGACGATTTGAAATTCTAAAATTTTTGTAATTATTTGCATAAAAAAATGATACCT